TGCCTTCTTAGTTCTGACTAACTGTGGCAACTTGCTGCAGGTCTTCTTAAACGGATTAGGAGATAACTACATGATATGCTTGATAAAACTCCCTTATTGCTAATAAATGGTGGAACAAGTAGGTACATCTCCAGCTTATCTTAAAGGGGCCAATATTCTTAAGTTCTGGGCTCTGCTACTTCACTTTCTCAGTTGGTCAAATCTTAATACTTAACCTGCGAAGTGTCAATTGAAAGTTCTCCTATGTAAGCAATCACGAGTCTGGCACAACATAATAGATCAAAGTCTTCTATCAGTTCCTTGATAGTATGAAAACAGAAAGATGTGATGAGAAAAAGAATATGTTTTCAGTGTTCTCCACAGGATTTTTCTCAAGTGGGTGCAAAATTTTCATTTTGACATTCGTACCAAAATTGGTCAAAATATGCCAGTTTTTCATATTTTTTGCCTCATTTTCAAGTGGGTGCAAATGGATTTTCAGGTGGGTGCAAGCCTGATTTAAAAAATAAATGCTAAATTCTTGGAAGATAACATGAGAAAGGTTACATAGATTTAGGAAATTAAGCCAAAGTATGTAGGTCCAGATGTTTGGGCTTTCTGGGTCATCTAGAAAGTGAACCCATTGATACCCAAGATCAGGGCACAATAACTCATAGGAAAGTAGGTCGGTAAAAACTAAACTGTGATGAGGTCAGTATCAAGGAAGACAAATGACAACACAGGAGGTCATGCAGTGCATGATGGTAGTCCAGCTGTGGCTACCTCGGACTCAGTTGCCATGGTAACTTGAAGAATTCAGCTTACAAAAATAAAACAAAAATGATTTTATGAGTGCAAAAAGTATGGGCAACATTTGGTATGAACAAAAAAAAGAAGAAGAACGTGAATCAAGTAAAAGTGTCAAGAATCATGTAAAATGAAGTAGCTAATACACATTGTTGGGTAATTTGATTAATCTACAACATGCATTCAATACGTCAATTAACATTAGAAATGGCGTATCAATGCACTAATGCATACAGGTGCTTGAAACTATCCCTAATACACAACAAAAACATATTTCCATATTCTAAGAGGGATTATGCAATACATCAATTGAAATTAATTGACAATATCCTTTTAATTGTCCTAATAGCATTACAAAATGTTATAATCAAACTCAGAGTACATGCTAATGCAGTTATTTCAGACATATGGATTTGTTTACAAACTCACAAATGACTTAATTCGTTTATTGTTTGTATTATTTACAGGTAAATTGAATACTCAGAACATAAGTGCAGTTGGTAATTATCACAGCCCATTCTCCATACTAGTATCCAAGGCAACTTGAAATACTAACAACTAAATAAAACAAACTTTTAGACCTGCCAAAGGCTAAACAATAAAGTGTTCCAAATAGTTAATGAAGTCAAAAAAGGTTTAAGAACTATTTAACAACCAAACCCCCAAGCAGAAAAATCTGTAATAAAATGTCTAAGATCTCTCCTTTATTCTGCTTTCTTAATCCTTCTACAGACAGATTTATTTATTTTCTAAACAGAACCATAACTAAGGGAAAAGAAAGAGTGACATTTTAAAAGAGTTGAAGAAAAATCCATGGAGTTCAAATATCAAGCCTTTGCTTTTATAGATGTGATTCTTAAAGAGAGAATCAGAGATAGCGAGCAGGCTAAACGAAAAATTGTTTCAATCTTAGAATATTTCTGGCTCATGTCATTCGTTGTCATGGCTATTTTCTAAAAATCACAAAAGTGCATACTTTATTCAAAGAAAACGAAAGATTTTTACAATAATGTATTATTTTTCTATAAGAATGGTTACCATTCTTATTATTTGGGAGAGTTTAAACATTTTTCACCCATTTTTGCACTTTGAATCATTAATAACTTCACCTATTTATAACATATTGTTAATCTTTTGGGAGATATTGTATTTGATATTGTAAGGAATAGATTGGTAGGTCAATTATGCAAATTGCTTGTAATTTTGTCACCCCCAATAGATCTGATTCTGCCTTTAAGTTTTGTTTTTATTACTGGGTATATCAGGCATATCACCTATCAATGGTTAGTTTATGGAAACGTGGTACATGGAGACACTTGTAGACGAGGGATAAGGTGACAAAGTATATAATAACAAACTATATGCTTTTTGATAAATGTAAATTTTGTTTTATGTGCCAATCAACTACTTTCAAATATCCATTATCATTTGCAGACATTGAAGCCCAACATATTATCGAAAATAAAGTGGTGGTTTTCGATTTCCTTTGATTATATTCGCATAAATTCAAGGAGGTCGAGAGATCCTTAAAAATGGTAAATATTCCTAAGCTAACAGGCATCTCTAGTCTCAAATTAAATGTTATTATCAAACTCATTTATCCAAAAACCTATTATGTGTTATGACAATTTAATATTAATGTATTAGGCTATTATGTAGATGTTGCAATATATTACAAAGCCTTACAACATAGGGTGGTTAGTATAAGTATGTACCATGTTCTATCGTTAAATAAATCAAACTCATTTTTTTCAAAGTTCATCTGTGGACAATGAGGGCCCTTCATGAATCAAGTTAAGGTCTCGAAATATCACAGATTATAGCCTAACAGAACTCAAACCTGAACATCAGGGGAAAGGAGGGGCCTTTAAATTGTAAATCATGCTGGACATCATTTTTCATACATTCCAAATTATAAACTACATGTATATATTTAGTCGAATCTAAATGCAAAAAATGAAAGAATATCTGCATTTTAAGCTGAGTAAATCAGAAATAATTTGGTTTAAATTAAAGAATGATTAAATTCAAGAAAACAAGTATGGGACAAAGGCATCTTAACTTATACGGGTGACCTTTCAAATATTCTGCCTACATTTTCTGAACAAATATTCTCAAAAATACTATAATATTTGTAGCTCAAGAGTTCACCTAGCTCTCTCATATTTCTTGTATTAGGGGAAGTGTTTCTGGTTATGTCGAAATGCTAAAGGTAGAAATATCTCAAAAATAATAGAGTGATTCATATATGTCTATTGCTTGAGTACATGCTCTGGCAATTACAGACATTTAACCTTATTTTTTCTCTAAAAGAAACAATTATACCCTGGCATTTCTCTGTGTTAATATGCACAAACGTAACACTGTTTAAGACTACTTTGATACTTTGAAAATTGCATTTTTTAATCAGATTCCAAATGATAAACTTTTATTTTAAAGCAGAACCGAAGAATGACACCTCAGGCAACTGTTTCTCTCTTAATAATAGATCACTGTGATTAGCCATTCCTGGAAACTCCTGGAAACAGAATGTACAAGTCGAGTAGTGGCAGATATTGGACTTTTTCAACAACAACGGAATGTTTCAGTCTTGCTCTTGTCCAATTACTCTAATCTTGCCATTCCTTGCTGCATCTATATATCATTGGAAAGCTGAGAAATTTGGGGGAAATGACTACACTTACAAGAATACTACATGAGATTTTGTTTCCAAGATTTGACCTGAGCCATTAGAACTAAAGCCCTTACAAAAAATATCAGTACCATTGTCTTCTCTATAATTTGAAAAACTAATAAAATAAAGACCACAATATTTTTCCAAGCATCAGCATATATTTATCATAAGAAGCTAAAAATTATTATATAATCTGGATATATTCTGAAATTAAGTCAAAATAGCAATGAAAGATGGAAACACAAATATAGAGTTTTAGTTTTGCTCTTGCGAAAAGCCAGGGACAAACTATTAGAAGTTCCAGAAAAGATAGGTTTGTGGTCAAAACTTCCTTCCATGACAGGATGGTTAACGCAGATTTCTATAAATAACTAACTATTTCCCATTTTTCCATATATTTCCTTCCGATCATCTGTTTTTCCAATTTTAACCATTATGGCACTGAAGTTAACAATGTAAGAACAGAAGTATGATTCTAGAAGTACAAGATATAGAATGTAGATTAATCTTATTGAAGAATCATCAGTTTCTAAAATTATAATTGCTTGATAAGCTATCAATGGCATTCCAAATTCCAGTAGAATATTTTAAATGCAAACTGTCTGGATTTGGGATATTCTGAATTATAAGACTCAGGATTAAGCCCTTTCAAAATGTTTCAATTTTTCTAAATTAGTTTTCTGGATTTTTTGCAAGGAACAAACTAAAATTCTCATAAAATGTAAAATGTGAAATCTACTAGCTGTGCCATATATCCGGATCCTTAGAAATTTTCATATATGTGTGTACACATACTATTGATTGTTAGACTTCTGTTATATAAAAGGGAAAGGGGGAAGTATTATGAAACGGTTTGATGCTAAAACATGGAAGTTTCAACCAAGAATTTCAGGCCTTATTGCAAACTTAGTCACAACAAACTCAAAATAGAATTGATTGAACTATTTCATTTTTCCATTTTTAAAAAGCTGTAACATTATTATATGTTCAGATTTCAAGATTGAAAAGGGTCTATTCAACGGGCAAATTGTGTACTTGGCCATAGCCAGGTTTGAGGGAGGCAAAGAAACTGCTACACCAAAATTTTACAGAAAAATATGAATTCAGACATTTTTAAATTAAAACTTTTATATAAAATGAAGTCATGGTATAGTGTTATTACGGATTTAAATCAAATTTGCCCAACAATATATATACTTCGCCAACTTTTAGATCCTGGTTATGGCCCTAGTATATTTACAGAGCTAAACATTGGTTCGCGTTACGTCAATTAATAGCTCAAAAGTATATCATGCGATGACGATTTGACCAAGAGTTTGATGAAGTGGAACATCAAATATCTTACATAACAATTGTCTAAATACAAAACCATTGAATTTTGATGTCTGGTTGATCCAACAGGGCCAAGGCAGCCCCATCCCCCAGGCCCCATTTACGGTCAATCTAATACACATGTGTCAATTCACATTTTTCATACACACTTCCCACTATCCATGGGTATACATTCTCACTTGATTAAAATAATCTAAGTTTAACATACCAGAGTAATCTTCTTGTTGCCCCTTTACCACACAGCAACAGAGCACAAGCAAAAATGCCCTGAAAAAGAAGTCATCACTTTCACTTTCAGTTCTGAACATTTTCAGCTTTCACTTTTCAAGTTTGAAACACACTAGATCTAATTTACGTTTATTGAAAGATCTGTGATCGTCGGAGACATTTCAGAGTGTGAAAAAGTGAAATAAATCATTACCTTGCGTGCATTGTGCGCTGATTGTCTGTAAATCACGTCCTATATCCAGAAATAATCCAAACGGGTCTCAGGTGGAAATTGCAGCCCAGCACTTTTTTGACAATCAAAACATGTGGGCAAAACGGACGAGTCTACTTTTGTTTTGGTAAAGTTCAAGGGGTGGCAACTCACTGGACGAAATAGGAACATAGGCATTGTATTCCCGGGGATTTGTGTATTTTGCAAGATTGTAAAGCTATAAACAGTAAAGCCATAAACATATAATTTATAGATCCGACATATCAGTGTATAAATAAATGCATAGCCTATGTGGTGAGGGAACAGTAAGAGCACAATAAACTTATCATTTTCGATACAACAAAATAAATAAAGCATTTTAGATACAACCTGGTAGCTTATTACATCAAAATGAATAAAAAATGTTCATTGAACATGGACTAGTAATAAATATTACAATATCATTGATGGGATCTAAGTGAGCCTGGTTTAAATAGTTAAAGAGGACATCATAGTTTCAATAAAGAAAACTATTTTCTGTAAGGTTTTGGCGAGGCACTTGCCTCCCCTGCCTCATGCTTTTTTATGCCCCAAACTTATAATTGCAATTGACAAAATCAATCTCTTTGCTGTAAAAATAGAATACCACATTTCACTATTTTGAAATAATATTTCATGTTTCAAGACCTAATTCATGTTTTTTGGTTCAAAAATGTGCATCTATTTCAACTAACAGGCCCGTCGCCAGGATTCACCAAGGGGGGGTTCACTTTTTGAAAAATTCAAGGGGGGTTCACTTTTGAGACAATTTAGGTCCAAAAAATAGCCAAAATCACTTAAAAAGTGCTCAGAATGGTGAAAAACTGCATGATTTTGAAAGATTTTTTGGTGGGGGGGGGGTCGCTCGAACACATCGATCCCTCCCCTAGCTACGGGCCTGACTAATAAAGATTCAACATTCAGATATCTTATAAGTATTTATTGAATGACCCTCGTACACCTTCTGGGCATTGTTGAATACAGGTGAAACAATGATTGGTGCTAATAAGTCTATTTACATAAGATGGACCAAACTGGAAGATATGTGTTAAAGCATGTGGAATGAACCTTGATTGGACATGTACTTTTTTATTTATAGTTATAGTGTTTCTTAGCATAATATAAACAGTCCATTACATTAATTGTGGGGGGTCCAGGTTAAAAGCATTATTACCCCCCCCCCCTCTCCATCTTTGTGTCATGTCATGTTGACAAATATGGGGGCATATTGGCTGTGCTCTTTATACTAAATCTTATGAGATATGATGGGTTCATGTACATGATGAATAAAAGTAATAAACTAGTGGAAAGTGTTGCACAATATTTTTTGCTCAATTATCATTTATTCTAAATGTTAAATAAACATGGAGTATCTTTCTGCATTCCAAATGTTATTTCATACATATACGAGTAATTTCAATTAAAATTGTTCTCGGGAAATAATCAATACCATTGTTATGAGTTCTCTCTCAATGATGTTGGCCCTGTAAATGTTGTGATAGTTTGACAATTGCTTATTCTTTGCATTAGTTTGACTTCACTTCTTAGAAGAGCTTCGTCTTCACTCTTTCAAATTAAAATAAACCTGTGAACTCACTGCGCCAATCAGTGTTCGTCGGCCAAATTTGACCGACGCTCTATATATGGGCATTCCTTCTGATGTCATCGTTGAGCCCGGAATTGACCAATGACATGCGCATTTTTAATTAGAACGCATTTGGCGTATGTTTCTTCAAGCTTGCTGATTGGTGGAAGAAAGTTCAGCGCATGGGTCAAAAGTGATTTATTACCCAAACTGTCATCGGTACCCGTCATGGGGGCGGGGCTACTAAACTGTAATATGGTCTCTACTAGGCAGAGTGTAGTTTAACTAGACTCTGCACGCAGGGTAACAATTGCTATATGTATATTGGTATTGATATGATAATTTTGCAATCAAAATCAAAAGAAAATAGACATACTGTAGGCACATAAGAAGCTAACTAATCCATAGACTAACTCCCTTGTCAAAATAACATTGAGAATTGAAAGTGAAATTGGAACTGTGAAACGTTTTTTACCCTATGAACTGTTAAAATAGAATTTTACAAGTTGAGACTAATGACAATTGACAATCCAATCCCCCATGACATTTGTTTGTCTTCTGGTCTTATCTGGCAACTGTCATGTTATGTTGTTGACTAAACCACCATGTGTTGGGCATTATTAATCAAAAAATCAAACACTCCTACAAGCGTAGATATGATGAGTGTATATTGGAAACTTGGGATTGGGAATCTGTCAGAATCTGAATGTGTCAAAAGGGTAATAATAGAAGCTTTTCCATATAGCTTTCAAATCTTGTAAAAGTCGTTTATAATGAGATTTTAGGAGATCTGCATTTTTAAACACGAAAGACGTAACGTTTTCTTCTATTTGATGCCATATTTGAATTGTGTGTGTAATTTTCTATCAAATCAACTTTGATTTGCACTGTTATTTACCTTTAAAAATGGTCGGGCTAAATCCCCATTGACACAATGTTGAAAAGCCTTTAAAAGTTCATTTACTCTTATAAGGATCACAATTTTAATGTGAAATCACAATTCACATGTCAATAAGAGCATACAGTAGTTACCTTCCAATTGTGGTTTAAGCTGATCCAAATGGAATTATTTGTGAAATCATGGGCATGAAATAGAAAGCCCATGGTTAAATCAAGAAATTAAGTGACTCTTGCTATTAAGTTGCTATGTTATTTAGCCCTACCAATACCCATGATGCAATCTATTTTTCCATTTATATGGAAAAGGTTCAATAACCCAGATGCGAGTAGAAATAATCTTGATTTACGTCATTAAAAATTCAGTCAAAGTAATATCATATTTGAAATCTACATGTAAAATTACATCTAGAAATGTGGTTTTAAAAAGTGTTTATCAACTTTGAAAAATTAATTTTCTTTGAAAATGTGACTTCTAGCTCGGGAAGATTCCCCATAGACCCCATGCTATAAAATCACAAAAAATGAAATATCTTTTCTTTTAGTGGACAGATAATATTTTGCTTTACTGGACATATTTTCATTAGTATAAGTATCAGACACATAAAGGTTATATGAAAATTGAGCCACTTAAATTGATAATAGTCAAGTTTAAGGGAACTTTCTTATATACCTGCCATGTTAATTGACCCGAATCAGCCACCTGGTGGTGAAACTGGTAACTACCTACTCGGATTTGGGTAATTGCAAGGATTGTTTGTGACTAAAAATATGGTAAATTGATGTAAGTCATAAAAATGAACTTTGCAGAAAATTAAATGAAAACTTTATTTATAATTTTATCAAAGTAGCTATATGTCTGATACTCCCTTTAAATGCATGTCCATGTTAGTGGAGACAGCATACACTAGTGACATCTATTGATAGACAATAGTTTAAATAGTATATACACACGAGATGTAGAGAAGACCATGTAAATGTTGAACAGATAACAGGCCTCCTGGACTTCCATCAACGCGAACATCAAGTCTCATTGAAAAATATTTCAATATCCTATTTTGATTGTAACCCCATTTTTACTACATTTAAGCTTTGAATTAAGGTATGGCATTGGTCCCATATTTGGACATTTGGTATGGCATTGGTCCTACATTTTGACATTTGGTATGGCATTGGTCCCATAATTGGACATTTGGTATGGCATTGGTCCTATATTTGGACATTTGGTATGGCATTGGTCCTATATTTGGACATTTGGTATGGCCTTCGGGCGTTATTTTGGTTGGTATGGGAACAGATTGAAATTTGACTGATTGGTATGGGAACATATTGATATTTGAGGCCTCAGCCTAGGACCCCCGTCGAGTTTTATATACAGTGAACCCCCCGGGGGAATGCATTAGGATCATTGACAACTGTGCAGGTTTGCCTACAGCGCAATGATGGCCAAACCTAAAGCATGTTATTCAAAGTGCTGTAAAATTGTGACTATAAGTCTGATGGTCATGAAATATAAAAGGATAGTAGGAAACTGAATGATGTACACATGTGTGAAATATCAGGAAGTAATGTTTTAAAATGACAAAGATATAAGGAAAATGCAAGGTTTCCGTTTTTACCACCCTGAATAACCTAAAATGTGTTATACAATAAAATGCACATGTATGACCTATCATGTGTTACACAATTTCTTTTTAAATTCATCTACAAGGAAGTACATATAACCTTTGGAGCCATTTTATTTTTTGCTTTTGATGTCAGTATTCATTATTTCCTCTGCCATCTTTTATGAACAAGGTACATGAACAATCCAATCAATGATCAATCCAAAACCATGAATCAAAAGAGTGTGTTCTTAATATTTGGACAAAGTATGTTATGTTGATATAACTCACAATTATCTGATATCAACATCACGTTTGACCCGTTTAACAGACTACAATTTTTTTCTCATGACTTTATATAGGGTGACACAAAATAAATGAGGTGATCTTAGATGGAATCTTGTTTTTCTGTGTTAGAGTGTTCCATTCTGAACACATTGGTGTGTTTTTCTGTGTTAGAGTGTTCCATTCTGGACACATCGGTGCACTCTCAGAGCAATGACAACTTTGCAATTTAGAGGAATAACATGTAAGATAGTAATATAGTCTGTCAATGTAAGATAGTCCTAAAATGTCAGATATTCTACTTTGTCCTTGCCATTATTTGAGTCATCTTTAGCCAAATCATATGTTCTCACTAGAATTCATAGAATAACTTTATAAATTGTGAGCAATCAACTTAATTATTAAGAAGGATTAAACTTTTGTGTGGTTTTGACTTTTGAGTGATTTGGCATGAAGGCATGCCTTGACAGAAAGCCTTATCCCTCTAAATCCCCAAATCAGAGATACTTTAAAACTATACAACTGTTTCATGCATTAAATACTCTATCTAAGTAAAAATTTGTGAAAAATTTATTCCAAAAATAGAGCGTTCCATTTTTTTGGTGTCACCCTGTAATACATAAGTACATGAAGTAGAGAGGTTATTTATCATCTTTTCAAGAATGACTTTACAAACATTTTAAAGTTAATAATAATCACGTTCATTTAGGCAGATCGGGTGACGTGTACTGCTCTAACTGAATATAAAGAGCTGCACTATAACACTATATGACATAAATTATATGAGATTGACATACACTGTGGGATTTGTGTACTGTTTAGGACGGTTCCATTTAGCAAAGTACCAAACACTGAATCATTAAAATTGACATGAGATGAAATAAAAAACACCAATATTTCAAGTAAAAACAAGAAACTATTGCACAACAACCAGCTACAATATTCTTAGACATTACAAGAGATCGAAATTGGATCGAAAATTTACCTTTTAAAATAGAAATAAAATTGTTGATTTAACTTGCTGGAATCAACGAGAAAAGAATACAAAATACAAACAACCACCAGTGCCATCTATCATTCAAGATGAGGAACATTCACATGGGTTTGATTGTTGGGGCGGTGTGCTGCATAGGACTTGTTGCGGGGATGCTAATTTGGCACTTTACAGACAATGTACACCAGAACAAAAAACTTGTCCCAGGTATTGTATTTTTTTTTTGTCTATGCTGGTGAGTAATACCCCTTGGATAACACATCTTTTGAGTTTTTAACTACATGTAGTTTGGATTGCTTTTACCTATTGCAAATACATGTATTATAATCAAATAATTTAATGGCTCAGGTGGAAAGTAACATTTTGGTAAAAAATTGCTATACCTGCACATGTTATTTTCTGGTATAAAATTAAATATGAAAGCATGTGTGTATTTCCTTGCTTTTTTCAGGAAAGTATCATTACATTGTCTACTTTTAGTAAACCTGGAAACAGGTCAATGGTACCTCCTGCGTTGTCTGGATACTTTGAAAGAAAATTTGGAAAAATAGAAAAATAGAAAATTCAAACGAATGTATTCCTAAAATCAATACATACATTTCAATAAGGAACATAATAAACTGCAGGTCCGCTCACTTATTATAAAGGAGCTCAGGCTAGAAACTTAATTCTAAGTGCAAAAAGGTGAACAGGGTGATAACCTTTCTTAGTAAATGATTTCATCATATAAATCTAATTTTTTTAATTTCAATTATAAGAAAGTGATACATGTACTGTACACGTGATACTCACACTCACGGGATGTCATCGAAAAATTTGTTCAGCTTGGGGGAGTATGCTATTTTTCATAAAAACACTAAAAATACTTAAAAAATTTACCTACTCCAATGCAATGAGTATATCATTTGCGAATAACCTTCACTTCTATTTGAAGTCCAATAAAAGCAGTTTTGTATTTCACATTTGAAACTGCTCCCCCAAGCTGGACAAAAAAATTAAAGAATATTTTTTTATAAAAAAATTAAAAAGACCCAATACATATAGATCTTATTAATACCTTCAGAGTTATACTGACAACATATATAAATATTATCATGTCACTATATCGTGCCATTAAAAGATTAAAAAAGATATGGGACATTTCAAAAGAATGATAGGTTGGCGCCGTTTTCAATAGCTTTTACTCCTAGCATTATGTGACTTCAAATAGAAGTGAAAGTTATCTGCAAATGATATATTCATTCCATCGAGAGGTTAATATTCTTTGATATAACGAAATATATGAGAATTTGTGAAGTCTTTTTAGTATTTTAAAAATAGCATGCTCCCCCAAGCTGGACAAATTTTTCGATGACAACTCATGACACTGTGACTCAGTCTTATAAAACACACTTTTATTATGTACTAAATGTGACTAGACGCAATCAAAGATCAATAAATATACCCTTTGAACTTCATAATGATAAAATGTTAAATGTCCTGACAGTAGGTCAAAGGGTAATAAAAAAGAGAACCGAATGTTTAAATAATTAATCTCATGCACACTCATTGTTAAGATTTAGGAAGATAACACAAGAATTATATCATATAATTTATGAGAGTTTACTTTGTAAACAAGGTTAATTAAGCTCAATCTCTCAATTATTTTGATTTCCAGTTACTATGGCAACCATTACTTATCTAATATTTCTGTTATGCCAAATATTTTTCGATAGATTAATAAAGTATTCTATATACTGCAGATTCTATGAAAATTTCATTAGAATATATTGAAAAATAAAAAATTAGAGAGATATTATGAGAACTTTATGATATACCCTCGTATCTCCTACAGAATCGAAGAAATGTAATGTATCAGTTTATTTCCTCAATGCATTGTGGCTGCTTCATTTTACTCAGGCATTGTTTCCTAAACTTTGCATTCCCGCTACAAAGTCATGCAAAGGTTTGGAAACAACACCTTAAATGGATTGATTCAGCACACAATGCACTGAGTCCAGGGCTTAAATCCTTAAACAGTAGTATAAACATGTTGACAATAACACCTTTAAAGTGGTACACTTTGGAGGTGCCAAAGGTGTTGCACTTCCACAGGTTGTACTGTATTGCCCAAGAGAAATGTTTACCCTTTGCTTCCATTTTTCCGAATTTTGTTAAAATTGGCTGGTCAAACTCAAAATTCTTGACAAAATTGGCAGGTCATGCCAGAAATTGAAGAATTCCAGCCTCCTCATTAATAAAGCCATCAATGTGCAATATTTGTTGTTATTCTATAATAATACTGTTTCTCTGTAGTAGTGTTGTCCATCACCATATTTGACCATAAATTTTGTCACTGCAGCAAATGTTAAATGGTTACCAGAGAGGGAGCTGCGGGGTGTTTGGGTTGCTACGGTGAACAATATCGACTGGCCAGACACACAAGGAGATTCAACAGAAAACCAGAAGAAGCAGATGACCAATATCTTGGACCTGATGGTAGAACTGAACCTGAATGCCCTCTTCTTTCAGGTGAGTTAGGAAGATGCTCATTAGTGAAGTTTCTCTTCCTCTAATCCAAAGATGCCACAAAATCAAAATGTTCAATAACTTACACAATCAATAGACTTACTGACAGATATAAAATGTTCTGAAGTTTGAAAAAAGCTCACCCACATATTGATCAAGCTTAAATAGTAATACTGGAAAATACAATTATGATATCTAAGTCACACATCAATCAGAAAGTCAATCGGAAACATGAAACTTGCCCATAGCCAGCTTTTACCAGGAGGGGGAGCTTTTTTCCAGGGGGGGGGGAGCTTTTTCACAATTTTAGCTAAAAATCATGCGAAAAATTCTCAGAATGGTGAAAAACTGCATGATTTTGAAAGAATTTCTGGCCAGGGGGAGCTTCTGCTCCCCTAGCTCCCCCTCTGGCTACGGGCCTGTGAAATGATTTGTTTGCATGCATGGACTTTGTCTTTTACAATCAACATACCAGTATGGTATATGGTATATTATGAGGTTATATAATGGTTCTTTCCGTATATCGTGTTTATACTCGAGTGAGTATATGATATATTCACAAGTGAGCGTAGCGAACGAGTGAATATATCATATTCTCACGAGAGTATAGAATGCACGATATACAAAATGAACCATTATATAATCTTATTATGCCACTCTAAGTTCAATTACAGTTGATTCTAACACAATCATAACAACTAAAAATTCATTAGTTCATTATTCATTAGTTCCCAGAATGCACTTCTACAGTGGTATACGCTGGAGTGTATACGGAGGAGTTGTATACGATGACGATATACCACTCTCCATTGTATATCGTTGTTATAGACCCATGTTATACAACTGCAATTGGACTTAGAGTGGTATAATATGTTGTATATTGTTAGTATGTAATGATTCCAGATACGACCAGTTGGAGATGCCTTCTACAACTCCAACATTGAGCCATGGAGCAAGTATCTGACAGGAGAACAAGGAAAAGCACCCACACCCCCATATGATCCACTTGAGTTTGTTGTTGAAGAAGGACATAAACGAAACATTCAAGTTCATGCTTGGTTTAACCCATACAGGGCAAATATGGCTAGCAATACAGAGGGATTGGCCCCGAATCATATGGCCCACAAGTTTCAGAATTACACCTATCCATATGGTAAATACTTATGGATGGATCCTGGTGCCTCTGAAGTCACAGATCACCTGATTAATGTAGTAACTGATGTTCTCAATAGGTATGACATCGATGGAGTTCATATGGATGATTATTTCTATCCATATCCTGTTAGGAATGTGACATTCCCAGATAATGAAACTTATCAAAACTTTTTGAACACAACTGGAAGGAATATGACTCTTGAGGACTGGCGTCGCAGGAACATTGATCAGATGGTAGTGAGACTGTTCCATACCATACGCAACAACTATGACAATGTCACATTCTCGATTAGTCCTTTTGGTATATACAGGCCAGGTCATCCAGAGGGTATGCCAAATTCAATAAAAGGATTTGATCCATACTCCAATCTCTATGCAGATGCTAAGCGTTGGCTTCAGAGCGGTTGGGTTGATATCCTCATTCCTCAAATCTATTGGGAGATAAAACCACCAGATCAAAGTTATCCCGTTATCCTCGACTGGTGGCTTAAAGCTTCTAACGAAAGACGTGGCCGTCATGTGTATGCAGGAAATGCATTGTACAAACTAGTTCAGAACAATTGGAATGCCTCAGAAATCCTACAGCAGATTCAAGTTTCACGAGACGAGGCCACGAGTAAATTAAAAGGCTCATTGGGAAATGTACATTTCTCTTTCAAAAATCTGAAGCACAATCATAAAAACATCACTAGTGCTCTAAAAGGTGGACCATACCGTGATATCTGTCTGCCTCCCACGTTGCCACATTTCCCAGACTCAGCACCGGCGCCACCTAGAGGTATCCACATGATGACTAATCGTCAAATCATGTGGTCACATGACACGGCTGGCACAGTCAGATCCTGGACAGTTTATCAAAGAAAGGGAAACACATTTGTACTGTATGCTGTCCTCAACAGAGCTACAAATAGGATAGATGTGAAAGACCCTGGTATATATGCTGTGAAAGCTATGAATAAAATATCTGTTGAGAGTTCTGAAAGTTCTATCGAGGTCAAACCATAAGTTTAAAGGATTGGTATCGATATGGTGAAGTTTTCAACACACATGTTTCCCTTAAACCAGTCATCAAAAAATTCTGGAAATTTTACACATTGTCAATTTAATGGTCATCTGTTGAGTGGTAACAATATAATTTGAAATAGATATACATACTTTCACCTATACTTTTTCTATATTGTTTTAGAAAACACATCAGAAACTTCTTTTGTTCTTGGTATCATGTGTTCGGAATGAAATGACACATCTATTCAAACCTCATTGGAACAAAATGACATAAACACAATGTGTTAAGGTATCTCAATATTGTAATTATACAAAGGAAAGTTTGGTTGATTTAAAAAATGTATCTTGTTCGTTCATGAAATAAAAGGTTTATTCTTAATTTCTATCTATTTTGGGGGTTTTTGTTTTAATTTTTTGAATACTTTTTGTTAAATCAACCAAAATTTCCTTTGTATTGTATAGACTAACTATAATATTGAGTGGACTAAGAAAGTGTTGTATATGCTATTTTGTTCCAACAAGATTTGAAAGATATTTTATTTCATTCTCAAGAATTGGTAGAAAGGAAGAAAAAAACAATTGCACTAAAAAACAAAAAATGTAAACAAAAAAAAAACAATTATATAAAGTATATACATAAATAATGTTTGCATTAAATAGTTGTCAATCAGTCAACATTACATAAAGGACTGTTCACCATATCCATACCTATCCGTTATGAAAACTATCAATATTTTAAATCTTTTATCAATTTTAGAATCTTTTTCATGACTATGTCATTCCTTAACTTGTCTATAAATTTTCTGTAAATCAAAAAAGTTCATAAACTTTCATAAAATATCACATTATGTGGATTTTACAAATGTGGATTTAAGTTAATGTATATTCCAAGCAATGTTGTCATGGTCTCACTGACATATCATACATTTATAGTAATTTGTTGTAATCATGTAAAAATATCAAACACAAATATGAGCAATAAAATATTATTTATAATTTATAAATTTTATAGTATTTCAAATTAATAACATTTTAAACAATACATATATACAATATATGAAGTACTACTCAAAATAATATTGTCCATAATACAATCACCATAATAAATAAATTGATCAAAATAAATTGATGATATCATAATCAACTGATTGATTAAAGATAATATCAATAATTTCATTGATTAGTATTCAGAGGGATCATCCCTGTAAGTAAATCCAAATGTTGGTAGTGATTCTTCCAATGGTTTTACATGTTCCACATAGTCATAAGCGGTTGCCTTAGCAACAGGTAGCGGTTGCTTACACATCTTTTGGAGTCGCCTGTAAAACAAAATTGAAAATATGTCGCATAACTGTCAGTTACTAGTTTATAGATGGATGGGTCTTGTATTAAATGTTCAGTTGCCCAATGTTTTCTTTTAATTCTCTCTCATAAAGGACGAGGGGGGCTAGAAGATACAAGTCTTCAAGTATAAGACTCCTCAAAGCAAAATATTTCATTCGAAAACTGCATTTTTAATACCCACATGTTTGAAGATATTAGAATTTTACAGGTAGACTCTCCTCAGTAAAATCTGTTAAGGGTGAATGATACTAAACCTAACCAATTTTGATTAGCGTTTAACAGTTCTTACTCAAAATTGAAAAATGCTAAAGTTAATAAAGGAACTGAATTCAACTGATTCATGTTCAGATTTTTTCAAAAGAATTAATTTATATGCTTCAGAAGAGGCTTTAAAAAGACCATATCTTGATTTACCTGATTGCTTGAACTCTGGCTTGATTCACGTCAAGATCAAGTAGGCGGGACACTTCATGTAACTTCCTCTGTCCAACTGGACTGAGTGGTAAAGGAGAGGGTGACTAAAATACAGAATATACAAGGAGCAATAAAAAAAATGGTGAGCCATACATACATACAGGTTGGTCTATTATAAATCAATACATACAGGTTGGTGCACTTTAGAAAAACACAAAGTGGGTGGTCCACTAGACAGAAATAAACATAGGGTGGTCCACTATAGCAAGAAAAATACATAGAGGGTGGTCCAGTTTAGAACATTACAAACTGGGTGGCCCACTAGACAACAATACATACATAAATAAGGTGATCTTTTCTTGATTAATACATACAGGACTGTCCACTATAGCCAGAACAATACACATAGGGCGGTCCAGTTTAAAACAGTGCATACAGAGTGGTTCATTTTCAACACACATATATATATAAAATAACATTAAGATGTTGATACCAAAAGGTATCCATTGGAATATAAACTATGGAAATATAAATATAAATTTTTGATAGGAAACTATATTAACAAACAGGAAATTTTTGAAAATTCAAACAAGACAAAGATTTTTATACTTCAAAATTCAAATTCACTGACCTTCCAGTAAGGTCCCCTATCCCCCAGAAGAGGCATCCCAGTCCCCACAAGAGCTTGGGGCATTGGATCAACAGGGGGCAGCACAAGATCCCCTGGGTAACCTGGTGACCTTGCCATTAACGGTGGACTCCCGGTGTCAACTAAATCAGTCTGTTTGATTGGTTGAATCAATAGCAGGCCAGTTTCACTAACCACATCACTAAACCTGAAAACGACAAAAAAAAGAGAATTGAGCAGTCAATCTTGGGTTCTTCGTGATCAAGAGTAAAACTCTAATAAATAACTTGCTTCATTGAATGTTATTTTAAAGACTTAAAACTGTTTTAAAGGAAATTCGTTGGCATTTCTGTAACTTTCTTGTTATTCCTTGTATACTTGCTTGAATCTCATAAAATTATTACGCTGTCACAATTAGGAAAAAAATTCTTGATTCACACATCTTTACTTACAATTTACACATTCGTTCAAACAAGTGACATCTTTCTTCCTTCAGTTCTGTCAACCTTTCCTCCCATTTTTTGTTGTTTCTGTGAAGTCTACGATTTATGACGTGGAGGAAGCTACGGAGCTCTGCACTCTGCTGAGGAGGTAACTCTGCATTCTTCAGGTTTGTTTGAAGCTTAACTGGAAAGAGTAAAATAAGGTTTCGAGAACTTTTTGAAATTGTTTCATTTTTAGAATTTTTTTAGAAAAAGTTCGAGAAAAGTGCACTGAAATACCGAAAGCTAATGCACTAAAATATCGAACAGAACAAATTAATAAGAGTACGCTGGTACATCCGGGAACATAGTAACGGTGAAATGAAAGTAAAGTAATTTTTTTTTGATTAATGGTTCATTTCGACTAGCTCAAACTAGCTTAAAGCGAAAGAATATCAGAAAACATTTGAAAATGAAATAAGACATGAAAAAAGGTAAGCAATTTGCATCAAAATAAGATAAGAAAGGGCGATTTTTAGCAAATTAAATTTTTTTAAAAACATCGATGTTTTGTTTCAGACATCGATGCATCGCCAGAACCAGCTTTGGCGATGTATCGATTAATCGCGACAACACTAATATGTGGATGTGATATTTACATTCATTACCAGGGAGATTGACTCATTTTTGCACTTTAAATCTTCAATTACTAAATTTGAGATGGTTAATCCTAAGAAATACCTTTTTCAGCTTTGAACTTCCTAAATGCAATGTATCGTTCAAAAAGATGACGTAACTTTAACTCTGGTATAGAAATTGCCTTCTTGATCAAATCAACAGTTAACTGCAACATAAAACATTATATACATGTACAAGTATATTAAAGATATACAATACATTTACATGTACATTGATAAAGTATATTGTACTTTAATGTTTGGGTCTCTGATAACACATTAAACTGATAAGACTAAATTTATTTCGTTTTATGTATGGAAAGTAATAAGCTGTAATTTGTAATCTAATAGAGTGTAAAAATTCATCATTTAAAGGCAGTTGCACACTTTCATGAAGACATTTTATTCCAACATAATTTGAACATAACATACATGAACTATGCTACTATATTGTGTAAATTTGCTATTTCTTAATTAATATATGGTACCTGTAATCATGCAAATTCTCATCATACCTTGAAAGACCATGTATGGATCACTCGCCCAGTCTTATACAAACCTTTTGATTGAACTCCTAATGCAAATCAAGTCATATTGTGTAGCTAACATCAAAAACAATACTGTAAAGATCGTTTGATAATTTGTTTCAGAAACAGTTAGTCATGAAACAGTTACTGGGTGTCTATGGACCCTCTTACCCAAATATATTTAAATACATTTTAATAGGACATGTATCTGAATTAATAATAGATCATGTGATATTTAGATATTTTATAACTAACCTCAGGGAAATGATGCTATATTTTATGACTAACCTCATATAGATCACATGATATTTTATGACTAACCTCATATTGATCATGTTATATTTTATGACTAACCTCATATAGATCATGTGATATTTTAAGACTGACCTCATATAAATCATGTGATATTTTGTGACTAACCTCATATTGATCATGTTATATTTTATGACTGAACTCATATAGTTCATGTGATATTTTATGACTAACCTCATACAGATTGTGTGTTATTTTATGACTAACCTCATATAGATCATGTGATATTTTATGACTAACCTCATATAGGTCATGGGATATTTTATGACTAACCTCATATAGATCATGTGATATTTCATGACTGACCTCATATAGATCATGTGATATTCTATGACTAACCTCATACAGATCGTGTGATATTTTGTTCTGAGTGAAAGCCTGCTCTACAACATGAAGGTTCTTTCTCTGGTCCTCCAAGCTCAGCACAAAGTCCCTCTCATTCTCTGCTTTCCTACGCCGAGCCTCTAATTGCATCTATCAAGCAAGTTAAAACATTTTTAGGGGAATACATTGGTCAACTAAATAGGCGAAAAATGGGTCAACAATTGTTTGATGACACTTTAGTTATATCTAATAAACAAGCAGGTCAAGGTCAACAGTGAAAGTGTGATGAACAATGAGGTATACTCTAAAGAACAAACTCATAGGTGAACATTAAATTCTATGACGGACCTCTTCATAGTTTCTTTGCATATTAAAATAACATGATGTCCAAGGTCTGTAATGAATTTTTCAGCAGTAAACTAAGAATCAACTAAATGTCTTGAAGTACTGATCATCTATGTACAGTATAATAGAAATATATACCTGTGTTACAACAATACGTTGGTCATCCAAAGATCTTGCCATTTCTTTCTTCATTTGAACAACAGATTTCACAGCCTTGTCTTTCTTCTTGATGAGTCCTGTATAATCCATTTGTAATTGTGCCAGTTGTCGCTCCACCGCACCATATTGCCCCCACAGGGATTTGTAGCGCACGTTTAAGTCATTGTATTTCTTATTCTGATAAATATAATAGTATAATAGAACTCATATTGTGGAAGGATGCAATATCATGGATAGTGGTCAAATGTTGGGAGTTGTTGAAAAACAAAGTTAATCTAATACAAAATGTATATGACAAAGCATTAACAAGGCAATGTGTCACCCCCTGGTTACAATTACAAAAGTGTAACAATTTGTTACATATGCTGACCATTGATGTTGATGTGGACACACTAGTCACAAACAAGGCATTCACATGCAAAATGTCACAACCTGCAATTTGTTACAGAAGCTGAATGGCAACCACCAAACGCTGAACACCAACTGCCGCCCAAAAAAAGTTGGAGACGATAACAATATGTCATCACTTGCTTGTAGTGGTGACATAAAAACCAGCTTACCTCCATCTTGGTGATATCTTTCAAATCTTGCTCTGTATTAGCCAGCTTTTCTTTAACATTTCTGAGTTTATCTATGAGGTCATTGTTCTCTTTCCTCACTCTCGTGACAATCTCCATCTGAGCCTTCAAACACAATCAAATATTTTAGGATTTTTCTTTTCGATTTGTATTTCAATGGTGCCATACCTAATTATCCTAATAAATAAAGTTCAGTTGGAATATGTTCTTCTTCCGGGTCATAACTCAAGTACTAGTGGACAAAATCAAATGACTAATTTTACCTACCTGTAGATCCTTAGTAGCAAAGCTTTTAGAAAGCTGTTCATCTTTAATCTCTAGACTGTTGTTCATGAGTGTCTGGGACAGTTTAGACTCCAATGATACCAACACTGAAATACAATGACAACAAAAATAAAATACAATGACATCAGCATTGAAATACAATGACACCAACACTGAAAAACAATGACACCAACAAGACAACACTGAAATACAATGACACCAACACTGAAATACAAGAGCAAGGCCAATCTAAAATATTCTTTTTCAAGTAATTTGAACAAATGATTAGAATCCATTCCTTTGACTCTTCAAAATCTCAAAAAATTGAAATGACATCATCATAATGTCTGCTATAATTGTATTTGATTTCTATTTTGAAAACTGGCTTTTAGTCAACCCCACATTAAGATTACATGTGCACATACTTCCATGTAAATAACACACTGACATTAGCCTTCTTGTAAATAACACACTGACATTAGCCTTCTTGTAAATAACACACTGACATTAGCCTTCTTGTAAATAACACACTGACATTAGCCTTCTTGTAAACAACACACTGACATTAGCCTTCTTGTAAATAACACACGGACATTAGCCTTCTTGTAAATAACACACTGACATTAGCCTTCTTGTAAATAACACACTGACATTAGCCTTCTTGTAAATAACACACTGACATTAGCCTTCTTGTAAATAACACACTGACATTAGCCTTCTTGTAAATAACACACTGACATTAGCCTTCTTGTAAATAACACACTGACATTAGCCTTCTTGTATATAAAGGTTGAATATTCATGACATTCAAGGTTTAATATTTTAAACAGGTATACATGCAATATGACATGCAAGGTTATCATCAAAAAGTAGATGATAGGTTAAGAATTAAAGTGCCCAAGTTGAAAAGGCCAAGGTAAATAAATAATTTAAAAATAAACATCACTGTGCATCTTTTTAACAATACATAAAAAATCTTGCAGCAATGAATGTTTTACTGGCAAGAAGGCATGTTTTACAATACTTTTTTTAGTCTTACTAGCTTTGTGAGAAATTAAGGAAATAACAGGCTTCATTCCTCATCTTTTTACAAATGCGAAATGTTAAACTAAGAGACAAATTTCAAGGAGGAGACACTTTAATTAAAATTTTCAATACGGCATCTTATTTGAACACAGATTTGTTGCAATAATTATGTTATGAATTAAAATCAATGATAAGCATTTTATTGGAATTAATGAGAGAAATTGTCATCAAAATTCATCAAATTTATTTAAAAAGTAATATCAAGTCTATGTGATAACAGGGCTTTCATTAGGATCACTGGCAATAGAAAAGTAAAACAACAAAAATAGCAAGTAAAATTATTGCAAATTGAAGTGTGGGAACAATAATTGCAAACCCAAATCAATTTTGATAAAAACATTAGAAAAAAATACTTGTTGCCAATTGTAAAATTGTAACTTAATTTCAAACTGCTCATTCAAGATGATCCTTAAGCATAGCTAGCCATCATTTAGATGTAACTTACATTCAACAGCATCTCCTGCCATATTGCACAGCATCTGACGTGTGTCTGTTGATGTCTTTCCAGAGTGAAAACAACAAATATTGAAGTATGAGACACCAAGCGGTGAAAATAAAAGAAGTAAAAGAATATAGAAGTATGAGATGCACCAAGAGGGATATTAAAAGAAAATACATAGAACATAGAAGCGTGAGGCATTAAAACAGAGAAGAAGAATGGAACAAAAGCTCTAAATATGCCATATTTCTGCCACAATCCACATGAGAAAAAGTTCTACATTTCTATTGTCAATAACCAGTCTGTATCAAAATTGGTTAATTTCTCTGATAGTGTTGGACTTTTGGAAATATATCTTTAAGGGTATGTATGTCCTCTGAAAATGGTTTTTACTTTCTAGTCAATGGAAGATTATGTGTAGAATTTAGTGTGAATCACAATATTATGCAATGGCACAAAACATCCTATTCAAAATATAAAACTTCAAGTGGATTGTTACAAATAAAAGCCAAACAAAGAAATAAACATCTCGAGAAAGGGTGAACTAAAAAATGCAACACTCTAATTTTGAAAAACAGAAAACTAAGGTAAATTATTTCAAAATTAGAGGGTTACATTTTGTTGGGGTCAGCCTGTATCGACCAAAATGATCATACCTTTTCATCTGTTATCAAGTTTTCTAACTGTCTCACTTCAAATGCACCAGCTGGCATGTTCTCCCGCTCCAAGATAGAGGCTAGAGATTCCTTGAATCTAAAGTATAGGTTATTTATTTATTTAGAATAATAAGTGAATATAACACTGAGGATAGACTATAGGAAACCCCAGAGCTCAATATAAATATTGGCTAAGGTAAGCCTAGAAGAATGACTTTTGAATTAATGTGATAATAGACTTTCTAAATTGGGTTGGATATATGTTGGATAGTAAGTGTGATAGTAGTGAGATATATAATTGCTCCTTAGCTTGACAGGTTCATACATGAGTAGACAATACCCAACCCACTCCTGCTTCACTCCTCATTCTATAGATGGCACTCACCTATTAATAGCTCTCAAAAGATGGAGACTCTCTTTGTGTATGCTGACAAGGGTCTCCTGATGGCTGGACTCAACTTTACGCAAACTGGCCTCATGTCTACAACAATAACAACAATATGATGCTTATATAGGCTAATACGTAAAAGATTACATACGTGTCCTGTACATAGGGATTTGAAACGCTTTCTGAAAATGAATTATAAAAAAATAGTTAACCAGGCCCCTGGTCCCTTAAAATAATTGGAAAATAATTGACAAAAAATATCTGGTGAAAATCGTATAGAAGGGAATTTGATATGCTTTCTCAAAATGAATTTTAGAAAAAAAAATTAACCAGGCCTGGTCCCTTTAAATAATACTTTAAATATAAAGAGACAAAAAATATCTAGTGAAAATCATTGAGAACGGAATTTGGTACGCTTTCTCAAAATGAATTTTAGAAAAAAAATAGTAAAAAATAGTTACATAGGGATTTGATATGCTTTCTGAAAATGAATTATAAAAAAAAAATTTAACCAGGAGCCTGGTCCCTTTAAATAATGCTAAATAATAGACAAAAAAATCTAGCAAAAATCATAGAGATGGGAAGTATAATACAGGTATACCTCTGTTTTTCCTTAGCTATGTGATCATTCAGTGTGGCTAGTTCACCCTCATGCTCCTTACAAAGTTTAGTTACAACTCTCTTCAGTTCTTTTGACTTTTCCTGAAAATACATTATGAAATCTAAGCAGTGATCTCCCTAGCATTAAAGCAAGTGGGCGCAGCACCCACCTGAGATTTTGGCTTTCACCCACCTGAAAATCAATTTACACCCACTTGAAAATGAAAATGGGCATATTTTGACCAATTTCGGTCTAAATTGTGAAAAATGGAATTTTGCACCCACTTGGGAACAATTCCTATGGAGAACACTGATAAGTGTGAGATACTTCATATCATATAACATTAGTTCACTTAACTTAAACATTTTTTACTTCAAGTCCTTCAACTATTCTTGGTGACACTACATCATTAAAAAAAAAAAAATAGGGCCAACTCTATTTTGTTGAGATTTCCGCAACACTGTCACTGTCAAGCTTACAATACTACAGTAGTATAATTGGTCAAAACTGAGTCACATGTCATGAAAGATCTGCCGATATTCATTGATCATCCTTATCAAATTAGACACCATGGGACTATCTAGGCATATTCACTGCTCCAGTAAAAAATATTTTTATAATATCACAATTACCTTATCAACACCAGCAGAGCTTGACTTCCGCTTTGGTGACAGAGATTCCTTATTCCCATCATGGAGTTGCTTTTCTAAGTATTCAATCTTTTCATCCCTACAATTAAGTTCTGTGTTGAGATGAGCAATCTGTACCTCAAGTTTATCATTTTCAGCTTGAAGAGATTTGAATTTGTTGTTGAGTTGCTGCTCATCTAACAGTTTCTTCTTCTCGGCTTGTTTCATTTCTTGCATCTCCATATGGGCTTGAAGCTTTGCCATCCTTTCTGTAAAGAATTCCAGATTTAGTTTTATCATAAGAGACATGATTTCTCGCTAATATACATTCTGAGCACTTTCAAGTGATTTGGGGCCAAAGTTATCAAATGTGAACCCCTGGGATTTTGTGACCCCCTCCCCCCCAGCAATAGCTGGCTATGGGCCTGATAGTGTCAAGCTGTTGCCAAATATGACTGCAGCTGATTGGCCTGTCCTGGTGCAAATATTCATGGGACCCAAAGAAAATTCACACTGACAACATTGTGAGATATATTCTGTTGGGGCAATGTATGAGGTGATGTTCAACATTTTTTATATTTATTTTTTATTGCATCTTTCTTACACAAAACATTGTACATAATATACATACAGATCCAATCCATTTACATTGAATATTCAATAATATTATTACACATTTATATTTAACAATTATACATTTTTACGCTTTTGAGACCATCTCCATTCAGAGTATTTAATTTGACTTAATTTAGAAGGGTACCATTTGAAAATACAAAACATGCAATAAGATAACCTTTCAATCATATTGGGCCGGCAATATTTTAATGTTCAACATTAACACAACAACAGTGAAAGTCATATCTGGGATAAATGCATAAGTTAAAAGCCCAGGGTGCAAAATTCGAAAGATAGAATGAAAACATTATTACCAGAAGAGCCAGTTTCAACAATGATGTGGGTCTAATAATGTTGTAAGCCTACCTGCATTTGACAATATTGGCAACTAATGTTTAGCAATAATGCAGATATTACAACATTTGACACACTGGAACCACTTTTTAGGTTTAAAGGTTTTTATTATCATGTTAACCAAAACCATGTTACAAACAGAGCAAGGGTCGAATCAATGCATTATTGGCCCTGGTAATCAAGAATTAATATAAATGATTAAGTTGCAAAGAAAACCACTTGTTGGTGATGAATTTAATGTGGATATGCAGGGCTCTCACTAGGCTTTTAGACTGTGGCGCAGCACCACAGTCTATTTAGCTCCCACCACACTCTATTGGCAAATATTGATTGTTCCCACAGTCTAAACTTGACTGAATACACACTAATAGCATGTAAAAGGATAAAATATAACATAAATATGATTTATCATGATTGAATGGTTATGCTTAAGATGTGTCCACCACACCCTAAATATTTTCTAATGAGATCCCTGATATGATGGTTGTGATACCTTGCTCATGTTTCAAATCTTGTTTCATCTGAATTGCATCTTCAGTACATCTCTGTACCTGGGATTTGTATTCCTCAATCTCTTCCTTCAGGTTCATTACTACAGGGTGGTCACTCAACGATGCCTTACTGGACACCCTGTAGCAAATGTTAAAGTTGAATTTTAGTACCATTTAGGAATAAGGCTCATAAGGGGTATGACAATTAGATCTTGCGGTAATTAACTGTTAAGAGAACTGGGGTTTGATCAAATCAAAATATCCTGAAGTTTTAGATCTTTTCTCAAGATGCTGACTCTTTGGACAAAGGATTTGTTTCACAATTGAAATAATCATTTACCCCCCCCTACCAAAATTAAAAACAGTTGAAAACAAGGCATTAACATGACAAAATGTCACCACCTAAAACAATTTGGTCAATTTAAAACAAGTTGGAAAATACCTTTTGACCTTAAGAAGGTTTGATTTGAACTTCTTAGAACATGTAGATGATTTTGAAAAAAAAATTCGTCAATTTGAAGCACTTCTTTGACTTTTTTTGACATTGAGAAGGTCATTGAAGGTCAAATGTCAAATGTAAAGTCAGATTTGAACTTCTGAGAACATGTAGATGATTTTGAAAAAAAATTAAGTAAATTTGAAGCAAGTTGAAAAAAGACCTTTTTGACCTTGAAAAGGTCATTGAAGGTCAAATGTCAAATCTAAAGTCAGATTTGAACTTCTGAGAACATGTAGATGATTTTGAAAAAAAAATTAGTCAATTTCAAGCAAGTTGAAAAAAGACCTTTTTGACCTTGAGAAGGTCATTGAAGGTCAAAGGTCAAATCTAAAGTCAGATTTGAACTTCTGAGAACTTGTAAAAGTCAAATTTGAACTTCTGAAAAGATGAAGATGATTTTGAAAAAAAAATTTGGTCAGTTGAAGCAAGTTGAAAAAAGACCTTTTTGACCTTTTTTGACCTTGAGAAGGTCATTGAAGGTCAAATGTCAAATCTAAAGTCAAATCTAAAGTCATATTTGAATTTCTGAGAACATGTAGATGATTTTGAAAAAAAAATTTAGTTAATTTGAAGCAAGATGAAAAAAGACCTTTTTGACCTTTTTTGACATTGAGAAGGTCATTGAAGGTCAAATGTCAAATCTAAAGTCAGATTTGAATTTCTGAGAACATGTAGATGATTTTGAAAAAAAAATTTAGTCAATTTGAAGCAAGTTGAAAAAAGACCTTTTTGACCTTTTTTGACTTTGAGAAGGTCATTGAAGGTCAAATGTCAAATCTTAAGTCAAATCTAAAGTCAGATTTGAATTTCTGAGAACACGTAGATGATTTTTAAAATTTTTTTTAGTCAATTTGAAGCAAGTTGAAAACAGACCTTTTTGACCTTTTTTGACCTTGAGAAGGTCATTGAAGGTCAAATGTCAAATCTAAAGTCAGATTTGAATTTCTGAGAACATGTAGATGATTTTGAAAAAAAAATTTAGTCAATTTGAAGCAAGTTGAAAAAAGACCTTTTTGACCTTTTTTGACTTTGAGAAGGTCATTGAAGGTCAAATGTCAAATCTTAAGTCAAATCTAAAGTCAGATTTGAATTTCTGAGAACACGTAGATGATTTTGAAAAAAAAATTTAGTCAATTTGAAGCAAGTTGAAAACAGACCTTTTTGACCTTTTTTGACCTTGAGAAGGTCATTGAAGGTCAAATGTCAAATCTAAAGTCAGATTTGAAGGTCAAATGTCAAATCTAAAGTCAAATCTAAAGTCAGATTTGAATTTCTGAGAACATGTAGATGATTTTGAAAAAAATTTTGTAAGAAATTGTTACAGACGCCAACCACCAACCGCCGGACGCCAACCGCCGTCGCAAAAAAATGGAGACCATAACAATATGTCACCACTTTTGGTGGTGACATAATACAAAGGTAATTGCTATTATGAAGAAACTCACTTGCAACATTCCCTCAATTCACCTGAAGATTTCTTCCGTACAGATCTCAAAGATTCTTTACTGAAGGTAATGTTGCTAGGTTGTCTTGTATGTTTTTCCGGTTCATGCTTCAAGTCCTCGATTTCGCGAAATAACTCTTCCATCTTTTGTTCCATAAGATAGTTCTCAGCTTTTAATTCTTTCTAAAAAATTAATCATGATTTTACCTGTTTTTTGTCAAAATATCTCAATGTTTGTTCTACCACAGGGTGAAACAGATTTTCTAACAGATTTTCAACAAGGTGGTATGTTTTTTTTAAATTCTCAACTGACTTCAGAATTTTTATGTTGAGTAGATCATTGCAAATTGTAGTTGTGATTTACTTTACATACCAAAAGTTTTTTGTATTTTTCTGACTGATTCTCCAATCGATTGGCATTCTTCTCAAAGGCCACAACCTCTCCATTCAACCTCTCATTGGCATTATTCAGGCGATCATTGTCCTATTTAATTAAATAATGTTAACACGTATCCAGTAATATTGAATTAATGCATTTGAGCAGCTACTTACATTAATACAATATATGCAATCATCCAGTTATACATGTATACAGTGCACTTTTGTAACAGTAGTTACATTGAAATAATTGGTCGTAGTAAATAGTGCTAGTACAACATTAGTTACGGTAAAATCTGTAATAAGCAATTTTAATTACTTTACCAGTGATGTCGTAAGTAACTGTTCAGCTTGTTTTTGATAATCTTCATTTCTCTTTTCAATGGCACTTGTTATGAACTTGAACTGCTTAGAGGCACCCCGCATCACTACAAAATAATACAATTTTCCAGTAATGTCTGACGATATTGCCATTTTTAGCAACATCAAAGAAGTTCAAATATATTTTCCAGATTGATGATGTTGTTGGGATGACTTGGATATGTATCTCCAACTTACATAGACGAGTGGTTCCAGATTTTGTGCTCTTAATAGTGTCATCTAATGTTTTCTTCACCTCTTTACATGCATTCTTAAAGTGTCCTGTATCACCTAATAGCATGCTCTCTGGAGAAGGAAAGAATGGAAAAATGATTTCTTCTTCACATAAATGTAAAATAACTTGAAAAAAGAATGAATCTGTCTCTCATGGCCGAGATTTCCACATTGATTCATAAAATGCTTGATTTTATCCTATTCCTCAAAGGATACCAGTGGATCTAATTAACAATATTTAGATTAAAATACTTATCAAATAGATTTTTCAGTTGTAAATGTCCAATCCTATTTAAAGACTGCAGTGTCTTCAAAAATTCTATTTGTTGTATATTTGTGCAAAATAAAATACTTGGACAAATTGTTGGTTTAGTTCAGGATTGATCTCTCAGAAAACATAAATGGTCATTCCGGAAACTTGGTAGATGTAGATATTTCCCTTTAAAAAATCCATATCTAATGTTCCCAAATAAAATCACAACTGTTCAGTCTACAACTATTTATATTTACCATCAAACACTGTAGTCTTTTCAGAAGGTTTATTCTGTTTTACTGGTCTTGGAAGCCTATAAAATACAATAAAGGTATTGTTAAATCATTAATCCTATGTATTTGAAATATTCATTTATTCTTAGTTTTCTTAACTAATTTTCTCAGAAGTTGTATGAAATATCAATTTATTCTTAGTTTGTTTTCTCAAAAGTTTCTATTTTATAACATAATCCACAATTCACACTTAATTTTCTCACCCAAGCCTATCTGCCTCCTCGTCATCTGAGTCTATTTCCCCAGCAGCTTTCAACATCTTGTACCCTAAAGTGTTCATTTTACCTGCAGCGCCCTTTGCAACTTTCAATGCATCCCTAAATGTATGGAGAACATCAGATGATAAAACATAAGCGCTAACTTGACAAACATTTAAAATCCCTTGGACCTGTAGTATCAGACCCTTAACCAGCTTTTGCCAAAGGGGTTCAGTTTTTTGAAAATTCCAGGGAGGGTTCATATTTGACAATTTTTGCCCAAAAATGGCCAAAATCACTTGATAAGTGCTCAAGATGGTAAAAAGCTGCATGATTTTGAACAATTTTTGGCCATGGGGAGGGCCAAACCCCACCCCTGGCTATGGGTCTGAGTACCATTACATTCATTACAGCATTTCACCTTTCGATTGCTATTTTTACTGTAAAATGAAAGTTTCTATTTACTATTTATTCTTTTCTATTCACTTTCAGGTATGATTGCCCTCATGTAAGAGGGTGAGCATTAAAGAAGGTTTAAATGTAGAATTGTATAGCAATGTACATGTATACCAATGACCTACTCTATTTCAGTAGCAATGTCATTGTACTCCTTCAACCGCTTAGCAAGAACTTTCCCAGATACAACATTCTCCTCCTTGAAAAGAATTAAATGAATTACATACAATATTCTCCCTTTTGAAAGGAATTTAATGAAATACATACAATAATCTCATCCTAGAAAAGAATTAAATGAATTACATGTACATACAATATTCTCCCTTTTGAAAGGAATTTAATGAAATACATACAATAATCTCATCCTTGAACATTTGAAAATAATTAATTGAATTACATACAATAGCCCCCTCGTTGAAAACAATTAATTGAATTACATACAGTGTTCTCCTCCTTGAAAAGAATTAAATGAAGTATGAACAATATTATCCTCTTTCAAAGAATGATATAAATTACACACACTATTCTCCTCCATGGAAAAATGGAATTAATTAATATAGTTAACTAAATTTGTAATGGCCGAATTTGATCATATATGGTACATACCAGATCTTTGGACGATTGCAACCAATCATATACCTCATCCACCACTGATGATCTCTGTTTACAACATTCTTGGAAGTTAGCAATCAGTTCCATCATCTGTCTCTGATGTTCTAGCTAAGACAAAACATGAAAAATGTTTCAACTAGTCTCTCATTTCATTGTAATATGTTGCATGTGTTCTCACTCTCAATTTGTCATGCTGACCAATGAATTTGGTTACCGTAACAACCAAGTACATGTATCTTATCCTTTATGTCACTCATGTAAACTTTTCTAGTAATTTTACTTCTTGAAAATGAACCATACCTTGTTTTTCTTTGCTTTGGTTTCAAAGAAGGGAGGTCGACTTTGTTGTTCAATTACCTTCTGTGCCTAAAAGTAAAATTTCACTTTTTCAAATCATAGTAGGTGGCCAGCTCATTATTATCATCTATTATTTTGCGAAATGTATAACATTACAATAATGCAGTGTTCATATGATTTTCTAGGTTTTCCTTTACATTTACAATATTTTTGTTTAAAAAATGAGTTATGCATAGTTGTTCTACAAAAATTATTCTTCGTACTTTATAATTTTAGCATAAATGAGGTTGAAGTTGGCATACTTTGATAAATAGCATGCTTCAATGAATTTCCAATAGCAGCCCTTATTTAGGAGACAAATACTAGAATGGTTTGGTAACAAACTTGACTGAACACAGATGATAATACCAACATGTTACATTGAGCAGCATGCTTTGTCCCAGCATGCTTTGCCCCAGCATGCTTTGCCCCATCATATATTACTGACATGTGCCTTTCTTACCTCCTTTGTTGACATGTAAACATTAGTAGGAAGTCCACCAGATGATAAAGCCTGCAAAATCAACAAATATTACCAAGTCATTAGGGACCAGCTGGGGACCATTTACAAAAACTTCATAAAGTTAGAATTTCCTAAAGCACAATTAAACTTATATCATGTGTGATTCAAATAATGTACAAAGCAATTACCCGTCGGATGCGGTCATGAATGGCTTCAAGTTTGGCAAGTACTTCAAGTTGCGTTCTCTGTGATTTAGCCATTTCTAACCTGTCTAGTGCCCTAATTACCTAAAATTGCAATAATATAACTTTCACATTTACCATCATACATCATGATTGGTTCACCTTTTCCTTATAATTTAGTGACACCAAATAAACTGGCTCTCAACATAAAACTAAGCCATTGTGTCTGTGCAACAAAATAGCCTGCTTTTCGGTTCAAGATTTTAGATAGATATTTTGATTTTTCCATAACCCATTTATTTAACATTTTCTCCATCATCATATGAGTGCAGTTAGCGAATGGTTTCTTGATTCAAAAAATGTAATTAGAATTCACCCAGCATCACCAAGAAGGGTCATATTAGCAGTTTGAGTTTGGAGTTCGAGTTCCTCGCTTTATAATACATTGGGCCCCAGTGGGAAAGATCCCTCCTAGGGATATATTCTATATACATACCTCAGGGTTTAAGTCAAATGTGACTGTTCTTTCATTAAATGTGACATCTTTAGAAGTTATTTTCAGACTGTGTGATTTGATTGTAGTGTCATGCACCTTGTTATTCTCTTTCTGTTTGAGGGTCTCAGGCTTCACCATAGGCGGCAAGTATTTCTTTTGGTCTCTGGTCTTCATGTTGCTGTAACTGATTAAACAGACTGTGTGTTAATTTGATCTCTATTATGATAGGGAAGTGCAGTTGACTTTTTAAATATTGAGATATTGAAGTATTCCTTTCTGTTCTGAATGTTATAAGTTCTATTTTCAAGTGTAATGGGTGTACAGGGAGTCAAGCTTGATATGAAAAAAATGAAAGGTGGGGAGTAGCCGATTTCTGCTTGAAAACTCAACAGAAATTTATTTTTTCACGAGAAATTTACAAGAAAATCTGCTAAATGACAGGCTTTGCAACCATTGTCACAGTCATATCAGGCTTTAACATTACCATGGTCATGACCGGCCTTGCAATATAATATAGCATTGTCCCAGTCATATCAGGCTTTATCATTACCACGGTCATAACAGGCCTTGCAATATAATATAGCATTGTCACAGTCAGGCTTTATCATTACCACGGTCATAACAGGCCTTGCAATATAATATAGCATTGTCACAGTCATATCAGGCTTTAACATCTAAAACAAACAGTAAACTGAGGGGGGGGGGGTAATATTATGAAACTAAACTTTGACTTGGTCTTTGATTTTCCAAAAATATATTTAGAAAATTAAATTATTGCTCGGTCATTAATCGGTAGTTAAAGAGATTGAGTCGTCCAGATTTATATTCTGGACAATCAGTAATGTCCCAATATAATTGCTCATAAAACATCATATATACCTTAGATATATCTTGAGACCAAATCATAAGCACGATATCACCAATATATTGATGATATCAACAGGAAAACCAAAAGAACAACCAACTGTCAGAATTGACCGCAACAAGTCGAAACAGAATACAATGTTTTTTGGGGGATTTATCTATATTGTAACCCCTTAGAAGTAATAAATATGGCTTATCTAAGCCAAAATAATCTAAAGGAAAAAGCCAATCAGACTGGAACAAATTTGAGCGGGCTTTTTAAATTTGAATTTCTATTGATGTAAGTGGAAATTCTTGGCTGAATCATGGAACTGATACTGTTAACGAATTAATTCAAGCCTCAGAATTGATAAGTTGAGAAACAAACTTGTTTTACATCAAATAAAACGAAAAAATCAGGGGGTTGCTCTAATTAAAATTAAAACAAGCTCTAAAATTAAAACAAGCGGCTCCAAGAAAAATGGCCATATTCGAAAACTGGACGAAATGTCGTTAATGTCTGACATTAGTAACTGGCTGTAAATTTTAAGTTAACGATCCAGAAGATGTGAACTAATACAATTTTTTTTCTACAAACCCTGTATTTTAGCATGACCTATGATATTTTAGTATTCATCTTGTTAACACTATTACATGTTTTAGAATTTTATTTTAAAGATTTCTATGTCTATATGTCGGTCAATAGCGCTTGCGCAAATGTTTATTGTACAAAAATATCCGACTTGAAATAAATATTGATATGATATGATCACTTCATGTGTGTTTTTGGAATTATTGGTGAGGTAATAAGACCAAAACTCACAATTCAAATTGTGATGTGGAAAAATGGCGAACATTTGATTTCAAGTTTTATGATTACGACATGACCCGTATACAGCGACATGACTCACATCCAGCCATGGGCGTAGCGCAATTTTTAAGAGTAGTATGCGGCGTACACCACAACGAGAACACGAGTTGAACAAAGCGAAAAACAAGCGTACATTTTGAAATTTGGTTGTATTTTTAGTATATTTGCGACCATCTGGTACGCCCGTGGGTACCAGGCGTGCCAGGTGCTACACCCATGCCAGCAGAGTAAAAAACGTGTATGGGTTTATCTTTGGACGAAGCCCACGATATAGTGACCTTAAGAGGAATTCATTTTTCTGATTACCAGGAGTATGTGGTTACAAATGTAACAATCTAATTTTGCATGTGCTAAAGTACAACATATATTATCAAACAAACGTTACTATAACAACCATGAATAAGGGGAATACCCTTTTGCTGAAAATCATAACAATGTTGCAACAACATGCAATATTTACCTTTGAATTTGCCGCTGAAAGAATGTCAAATAAGGTCACTAGGTGCAAGATATCACGTCCAAAATGTTTGCAAGCTATTTACATATTTTCTTGTCTGTACACACATTTCCTTGTCGTTATTTGTTGTACACCATGAACAATTCATTGGTTGTCAACTAACGTCTTTATTACTGACCAAGAAACGCAATTATGACAAGAATATAATAGTGAAATTGTGTCCTCATCGGCGAACATCAACAATGCAACGTGCAAGAGATGGGGGTTTAACTGCTTAATTAAAAGGGGTGGTAGGATGCATTCAATAATATTTTTTGATTTTTGACCGCCGCTTTTCTTCGAAACACAAATGAAAAAATATGGAATGTATTAACCCTTTATCTTTATGTACTAATAGTGAATTCCGACCCTCTAACTATCTCCAAACTCACCGACCATTTCATTCTATTGACCGGTGATACCTACAAATAGTGAATCCTCCCGACCTTTTTCTGAACACGCGCATCTTGATTGGAGGATTTTGTGACGTCAGCTATATGGAAGAAATCGGGTCAATCGGAGGAGAAGGTCACAAAGAAAAGGGGAAAATTTGTCCATAATTAGGGTAAATATTGTGTTCTGTTATACTATATTTTGTGAAGTAGTGTATAAACTGTCGATCATATGAATATGGTACCTAATACTACAGGATTCAATTGTAAATTTGTGAATCTGGATGAACAGAAATGTTTCCGGAATAAAAAATCTAAAAAATTGATCAGGAATTTTTTTCTTTTCCCATGTTCCAGTAAGTTAATGAATTTTCATCATTTTTGTTTTATTTCACTGTGTAGGTGGGGATACTTCATTCGTGCAATTTCAACCTCTCTGTCTCTCCTGATGTGCTGAAGAACCGTCCAAATGGTGAGTTTTTCAGAATTTTCACTTTGATGTGACGAGATCTAATCAGTTTGGACATGAAGTGCCAGTTCAAGCTTTCTATTCTGAAAAATTTTTTTTTTGATAGACGTCTATCTTAGATTGGGTTTTAGGATTATAAAGTTTAATCGTGAAAATAAATTTTTGACTCAATAAACACGAACTTTTCTAACCTGCGAGCTGAGACTAACCAAGTGATGTGTGTCTTGGCGTTTCGGCTTGACATAACCATATTCATGGCATGATTTAGACCAAAATGACGAAGAGATAAATTTGCTTATATATGATGTATTGTTATTCTCAATGAGGGATAGCACCCAATGGCCAACACTTATTGGAAAACTTAATTTTGTTTACTATTGTTAAATTCTCCCTCGATTTTGACAAAAAAGTTTCTTAATACAGTATATCAACATATTTAGGGGAGATATTTCCGTGCTTTTATTTATTTATTTGTATTTGATTGAAAATTATTAAAAAAAATTATTGATTGGGTTGCTGTGTACATGTCCACCCAGAAAATAATACCAGTAGGTCAAGTACTGTAGAGATTTGATTCAGGTCATATGTATGAGTTCTATGCCAAGTACCAATATTTAAGTTCAAATTCACTCATTATGTTCACCCTCCAACTTATAAGGAAAAGGTGGATTGATTGTTCTTGACATTTTTTCATTATTTTAAGAAAAATGGGAATGTACATAGATTTGAGAAGTATTATCAGGACTTGGTATTCATAGCTAGAAATAAGATAAGAAAATAATATTTACATATAGTCTGACTGGTGCCACTGCCCTGTCACCAGTCACTAAAACTTAAACTGTAAACGCCTTCAAGGAAAGCTTCCAGAATGGTGTATTACAATTTATACATCTCTGTATTAGCTAAGTACGAGCCTTGTAGAAATCAATACTTATGGCGGAGAATTAATTGAGAAGGTTGCCATAATGATGGCATTTTTTCAGATGCTTACATCGGACAATATTGTACAGTGAAGTTATTGATCTGAAAATGTGCCTATTGAAATGTCAGTCTTTCTGCTTAGACTCCGTCGGCACAGCCTGACTGTGTATAGGTCTCTAAGACATTGAATCGAGAAGACTATAGACTCGACATTTCTGGATTATGATCAATGAAATATCATATTGAAAATTCAGGTAAGAATTGGATAATGAAAAAGGATATGTATATAAATTTTATAATGTAATTTTATAAATAATTTTTATAATAAGTGCTGAAATGCATTCTGGTACTCACAGTTGCTTCTTTCTTACGAAAGACAATTTGTGATTGATATGCCATGTAAAACAATCATATAATGGAAATGAGGTATCAACAGTATCTATATTGTTACCATAACCTCACTATAAATATAATGGCAGAAAATTTATGATGATAAAAAAACTAAATTTACTAAATTAAGGACTTTTCCCGAGTACTCCTCTTGTTTCTTACTTTTTTCGTTCCATTTTAAAACTTATTAACAATAATAGTTGAAAATATATTATAAGTCAAATTGATTCATTTAAGTTAACTATCACTGTGTTATGATAAATCAAACTTGAAAATTACATTTCAGAAAAAATGTAATTTTGGAATAAATAGGTTATTGATGATCGTGATGGAAAATGATTTTTTCCTCGAGAAAATATGATGTTGGCCTCAGAAAATATTATGTTGACACTCAGGCTGTCGGTATGATATTTTCCTTGGCCAATATCATATTTTCCCTCGGAATAAAATTCATTACCCACCCCTCCCATTAACCTTTCTGTACATTACTGTATTAATTTCATGCCAATATGTATTAGCTTGCAGCTGCTATGCCAAGAATATGGTTATCTCTAGTATTATACCACTCTCCATATTTCTACCAATATTGTTACTATTGGCATATTGCACTGATCTGCATAAGATATGGATGACATTTGTTCTACTCGTTTATCTATCTTGTTTAGTTGAGGTGACGTATGTAGGAGGAGGGGGTCACAAGGGCTTGTAGTAAGACGTTATTGGCTTGGCTTGTTCGTCAACAACTTTCAGATGATATTGCAAACTCCTGTCTATCTGATCTATTTTTATCCCATCGAACAAAGTTCGTAGGGATATAGGGAATGCGTCCGTACGTCCGTCCGTCCATCCAGGCAATAACTCAAATACCGTTAGCCCGATTTTGTTCATATTTTATACACACGTGCCCTATGGGGGAAGAAGTTTTGCTGGAAAGCTGATTTTCAAAATGGCTGCTCGTTTCAAAATGGTGGCCTTTTTAGTGCAGATTTTACAGTTACTTAGGTACATTATATAAAACTGTAATAGCAATGTGTTTTAATTGTAAAAAAGTTATATAGGACATTAATAAAGCTAGACATGTAAATATTTAAGAAACACATGGCAGCCATCTTGAAAAATGACGGCTTTTACACACTATTTTACAATTTTGCTATAACTTGAAAAGTAGTGGAGCGATATTGTTCGATATTGACGATATTGATATGTGAATACTCATAAGCATAGTTCACTGTCTTGTGATAATTTGGCCAGTGAGTGACCATTTTGAAAATGGCCTCCATTTTTACTTGTATTATTTTACGTTTTTTACTGTAACTCAAAAAGTAATAGAGCGATTTTGTTCATATTTGATATGTGAATATTCATAAGCATGGTTCACTGTCTTATGATAATTTGGCAAGTGAGCAACCATTTTGAAAATGGCCGCCATTTTTTTCTTGTGTTATTTTACGTTTTTTACTATAACTCAAAAAATAATAGAGCGATTTTGTTCATATTTGATGTGTGAATACTCATAAGCATGGCGCATTGTTTCTTTGGCTAGAAGGTAGTCATTTTGAATTTTTGCTATAACTGAGACTGTAGCAGAAGGATTCTGTAAAAATAGCAGCCATGGCTGTTCGATTGGATTTACAACGCTTTGGTTGTGCTGTTGTCTTGTTCACCATGAGCCTATCAAATGGTTCCATTTTAGTTAAATGGCAGAACGCAGCAACTCAAATTTTTGATTCATATTATTACAAAGGACAATCCTAGCCCCCAAAATGGGACTAAAGATTTTCTCGAAGAAATATTTGTTTGCAGATCACTCATAGATTGTATGATATTCTATTATCTCATTATCTCAAACATATGTTGAAAAATGACTTAAAGATAGTATCAGATCTAGCGATATTTTGGACTCATATTAATTCCTTGCCCTGTTGCTTTTTTAAAAATCCCTGTTATGCATATTAAAGGAACAAAGAAAGATTTTTACAATAATGTGTTCATTTCTCTATAAATGTGCTGGTCACATTCATGGCAAATTATACATTTTGAATGTGAAGTTATTTCACCAATTGATATTTTTGATAACATACTGCATTCTTCGAACACAGGACTCCAGACACCATCCACTATGTCTTCAAGGTACAAGTTCTGGAGGCCTGTGTTCGGAGGATAATAATACTATGGATCTTTTGGAAGGTATTATGTTTGAGATGGTAAAAATACATCGGTAGGTCAATTATACATGTTGTTTGCAATTTTGTCATCCCCTGTAACGCTGATTCTGCCTTCAACACCACAGAGTAAAAGTTTTGACTCTGTATATTTTAATTTTTCAAATATTCTCTTCAATCAAGAAAATTACAAAAGGAATCGCAGAGAATTCATTTCAGAGGTGATTCATCATTTAATTACAATATGTCCTGTTTAGTTTGGTTCTGATAGAGGAATTTGCTTATCGATCTATTGCAATCCAGCAAAATTACTTTCAGCAAATGTATTTTATAAGAATCTACATTGGCAATTTTAGTACTTCATGAATAGAATTACCAGGATATTGAGCATCGAACAATCCCTTAAAGTCATTATTCTTAATGAAGTATCCGTTAACTTTTTGTTTACTACATCTCCTCTTACGCATGCTGTTAAATATTCAGTTCACTTTTTTGTTTATTACATCTACGCATTTTGCTCTAGTGGTTATGAGAAAACAGATCTGCAGTCAGAAATGCTAGATGGTTAATTTAGTATATCATGAATATGTGTAATTGATAAATAATATGATCAATAAATCACAACATATTATTGATTAAAAAGTAACCAGATTAGAACATTTGTGAGGAAGTACATCAACTATGCATCAAATATTAATATTATAGTGATGATAATATTTTTGATAGACTTCAATGAAGATGGATCACATAACCCATTCTGATGGACATAGTGTTCCATTGGTTCCTTTCTAGTGTTTTATTATTGCTAGTTGAAATCAGAAAGAAATGACTGATGAGTATAATAGTGCATATCACCTGATTGAACCAAAACTCTATTTCTTATATTAGGATGAAGATAGATAGGAAAAAAGTGTGTTGACATATTGTTATAGTCTCTAATGTTTTGTGGCGATGGTTGGTGTTTGGCATTCAGAGTTCAGCATCTGTAACAAATGGCAGGTGGTGACAATCCAGAACAGGAAGTGTTTTATGTTAATGTTAGAAGAACATAATAATTGGGGCTTGATGCAAGACTATGTGGTTTAAAAGATAGATGTATAGATCGATAGATGAGTAGTGCTACTTTCACTGATTTTTGGAATTCTCCATCAGGTGTGGGTATCATATATTCACCTGGTTGAAGCTTAACTCTTATTGCGTTGATGCAATGTTGTGGCTGTGTCTGTATGGCCTTGGGTGCCATACACTTTTTGATACTCTTCTAAGGATTATTTTGTGATTTCAGAGGCAAAATCCAATCTTTTGCATCTATCCTGATTGTAAATGATATTTTTTTGTTTTCATTTTTACCATATATTTATAGGGATGGGACGGTTCGGTTCGGTTCGGTTCGGTTTTTCGGATCATCAGCCGTCGGTTCGGTTTTTTTCGGTTCGGTTCATTCATTTTAAGGATTTGTATTGATTGACATGATTAGCTGCTTAATTGATACAAAGATTTGCGCAAATTTATATTTTATAGATGGAATCA